GCGCCCGCTGGAACTCCTGCTGCAGCTGAGCCAGGGTCTCCCTCTGTTGCTCTGACTGCCGTTCGAGGTCCCGGAGCTGGGATTCATATCGCTTACTGAGAGGGAAGAGAGACAAAGACGCAAATAAGGAGAAATTCATGGGACTTAACTACTGAGGGTGCTGAAGGCAAGGAAGAGATTGACGGAAAACCTGAGATCTGGGAGAGGGTCTGGAAGAACTAGAGAAGGGGGGGTACTCTGGAGCTACTCTACAATGGCTCCTCAAAGCCTTTACACCAGCGGTGTCAGGTGCATTGCAGGTTGCAGAACAAAGACTCACATTTCAGCTGTGATATAGTCCAGCCTCTTCCCCACGGTGGCCCGAGCCTCTCCCAGCTCCTGTTTGACCAGCACAGGACCCAGAAGTTTAAAGACCACGTTGGACCCGTCTAGCAGGGCCAGCTCCTGATGAAGGGACGGGATATACATGATCAGAACCAGAGCCAGTACAGGTCCCTCCTCGCCCCCACGAGTCCTCTCTCACCTCCTTCACGATATTATTTTCTGTTAGTTGGGCCTCAAGCTTCTGCCGCCCTGACATGGATTTACTCAAGTCTGGGGGTTGGGGAAAAAAGGCTTGATTAGAAACCTCAAATGTGCCGCCTGGTGCCAATCCTGGTGAGAAGAAAATGGAACTGAGGAAGTAGACAAGGATGCGGCGGCAGGTCAGTGAGTGGGGAAAAGCACTGAGATGGGGAAGGAGCGGCACGCGGGGCCTCGGGTGGGGCAGAAATCATTATCTTGGTTTGGCTTTGGGCTGTGAGTGAAGGGACTGGGGCGAGGCCGCACAGACTCTGCTCCCTTACCCTTCTGTAGCTGCTGATATTTCTCCACTTCTCCCTGTAGCTTCTTCTGGATTAGATCGGCCATGGCGGGGACGAAGGTCTGCGGGGAGCGGGAGAGGGGCGCTGGATGGTACCCGAACTCCCCTCTCTGGCCTGGCCTGCCGAAATGACAGCACTCTTGAGAGGCAGCCTCCCGGGGCGTCGCAGCCTCACCCCGTCCCAGAAAGCCCTCTACCCCGGCCCCAGGGGGTGGCGGGCGCAGCAAGACCCCCAAAGCCTTCAACCGTAACCCAACCCTACTCACGTTCTCCCCTCACTATTACTAAACCTGGAAGTAAACAGAGCATGCTGGGAAAAGACGGCGCCGGAAGCTGTCTTCTGACGCATGCCGGGAACTGTAGTTTTGGCATGTTTAATGACTGCTGTTACGCCAGAAGACTGGACTCGGGAGGTTTTAGGCAAGACAGGGAAACGAAGCCGGAAGGAGAAAGCGCACCGTTACTTAGGCCCCAGCTCCAGACTACCTTTCTTTCATTGCTCGGGCATAAGCGGCTGCTTCGGATTGCGGGATCAAGGCGTGCCCCGCCCCTCGAGAGAGTGGGCCCTCACTCAAGATGGCGCCTAGAAGGCTTCAGCCCTGGTAGGCGCTGATTGGATAAAGGGCCGGCGGACTTCCGGGAATTTTCCAGCCGTCTGTGGGACAGCTGAGAGGAGTTTGCACGTGGATTGTAGTTCGGGTGGGCTAGATGGAAACAGCCCCCAAACCGGGCAGGGATGTCCCGCCCAAGAAGAACAGACTTCAGGCCAAGAAGAAGGTAGAGACGTCTCCTCCCTAGGGTGGAAGGGAAGTTTTTAGCTGCGGGGTCCCGGGGGGGCGGGGCGCGGGCTAGGGAGTCTTAGAGCTTCTGATGTGCCCGTAGAAACCGCGGAGGTACTGGGAGGAAGAAACCACTCTGACCGCTGCGGGAGCCTCTCCAGGCCCCCCTGGTAACAAGAAGAGGAATCGTGAGCTCCGCCCCCAGAGACCAAAGAACGCTAACATCGCCAAGAAGTCTCGGATCTCCAGGAAGCGTCAGCTCCCGAAGAAACCCCGAGAACGGAGAAATCTTGAGCCTCAGCGGAGTGTGTCCGGGGTGAGCCTGGGACCTACTAAGGTGGTGGGGCAAATCGCCTTGTGCTTTACTGGTGCGAGGATTGGGGTCAACCCTAGCCTGTTTGCTAATTGTTTTCTCCTTCCCCAGGCCCAGGATCCATTTCCAGGCCCTGCCCCTGTCCCTGTGGAGGTGGCTCGGAAGTTCCGTCGCATTGACAAATCCAAAAAGGTGAGGACCAGCCAGAGAGTGGGGAGTGGTTGCAGCCCGGGAGTATATGAGTGAGTTGGATGGAGGGGAGGCTGTGTGGCTCTCCTGGGACCCCACATAATGTCTGATTCTTCTCCCACTTCTCCCCCCCGCCAATGATGTTATAGCTGCCACATTCGAAGTCCAAAACCCGAAGCCGACTTGAGGTGGCTGAAGCTGAGGAAGAGGAAATAAGTATTAAAGCTGCTCGTTCTGAACTACTGCTTGCTGAGGAACCCGGGTAAGTGGACCCTAATGTGGACCTCCCCAGGCCCTGCTTTATGAGGCTTTTCTTTCTCATTTTCATGTTGGTACATCCACTGCATGTTTGGGAGTTTTACTGCAACCCCAGGACTCACTCCTAGGTTTCTGGAAGGGGAGGATGGGGAGGACACAGCAAAGATACGCCAGGCTGACATTGTGGAGGCTGTGGATATTGCAAGTGCGGCCAAGGTGAGTCGGAGTTGAAAAGGGGCCACTGGCTGGATTGGTGGTGCAGAGCAAGATGGAAGTGGGGACTAGAAGAGGGAACAACTGAAAGGAGCCTCTTCTTTCTTGATTTTTTGCCCCACTTTTTCCTTTCTCAGCACTTTGACTTAAACTTGAGGCAATTTGGACCCTACAGACTGAATTACTCCCCAACTGGGAGGTAAGGCTGGGTATCAGTCTGTTGAACTAGGGTATGGTTCATTTTCTTAACCACTTCAGCCACGCTGTTCTCAGCCTTACCAGTGTATGTTCAGGCTGATGATGTGGGGAGGGTCCTGTGATTCGCTTGCATGTGAGGGTGAGCATATAGAGGAGGGGCCGGTGTGGGACAGACTTCAAATGGTTTGAGTCACGGTGCTTCCCTGCATTGACACTCTACCTGTCCCCCACCTCCAACAGACACCTGGCTTTTGGAGGGCGCCGGGGTCATGTGGCCACCCTTGACTGGGTAACAAAGAGGCTCATGTGTGAGATCAACGTCATGGAGGCAGTGCGGGACATCCGGTCAGTGGGGGTGAGGCATCCCCTTCCGATTGAATGACTGCCCCTTGCCCCCCTTTCCCACTGACCCTCACCTCCCCTCCTTCCAGGTTTCTCCATTCGGAGGCACTGCTTGCTGTTGCTCAGAATCGCTGGCTTCACATCTATGACAACCAGGGCATCGAGCTCCACTGTATCCGCCGCTGTGACCGAGTCACACGGCTGGAGTTCCTGCCTTTCCACTTCCTCCTGGCCACGGCTGTGAGTGGCTGTGGAGCACAGGGACTGGGTGGCAGCCCTTGAGAAGACCGCTTCTTCTCTGGGATCCCAGTAGAAGGACAGAGGGCGATCAGGACTCATTCTGTCTCTCTCTCAGTCAGAGACGGGGTTTCTAACCTACCTGGACGTGTCAGTGGGAAAGATCATGGCAGCTCTGAATGCTCGGGCTGGACGGTTGGACGTCATGACTAAGAACCCTTACAATGCCGTCATCCATCTCGGACACAGCAATGGTTGGTCTCTAGCTGAGCTTTGACTGTCTGACCACCCTGACCTGCTTTGCTTCTATTTGTACTTTGCAAGTGCCTTCAGGTTGCCCCTATTCCTCCTCCTCATTACCCCTTGGCCTTGAGACCCTGTCTTTCCCAGATGTAATCACCTTAGCGCCTATTAGTAACTTTGGCTCCTCTCCCCTGACGTCCAGGTACCGTGTCCTTATGGAGTCCAGCCATGAAGGAGCCACTGGCGAAGATCCTCTGTCATCGGGGTGGGGTCCGGGCTGTGGCTGTAGATTCTACAGGCACGTAAGTCACTTGTTTGGTCTTGAGGTGCTGGGGAGGTCACAGCTGGGTAGAAAGATACAGAAGGCAGTGTGCCTTTAGGAGCACAGACTCACAGTCAGGCTGCCTAGGTTTAAATCTTAGTTGGGGCACCTGGGTGGCTCAGTCGGTTAAGCGTCTGACTCTTGATCTCCGGGTTGTAAGTTCAAGACCTGCATTGGGTTCCACCATGGGCGTGGAGCCTACTTAAAAAAAGAAGGTAAATAAATCTTGGTGTTAACCACTGATGAGCCATGTAAGGGTGGGCACATTTTATAACCTCTGTGTGCCACACGCTTTCCTTGCCCCAAGAGTAGAGATGAGTATCTCACTCAAGAGTCAGAAAGCTTTTTCTGTGAAGAGCCAGATATTAAAGATTTTAGGTTTTGCTGGCGAAGAGGCAAATTTGAGTGTATTACATAGATATTTGAGTAAAGAGAAAACAAAGCATCACAATTTTTTAAGCAATAGAATTCAAAATACAATATTTACCAAATATAGTATTTTTGTAACACAGGTCTACTAATGGGAAGAATTGGATGCCTTGTTTTGAGGATAACATTTTGCTCAATTGAGGTTCAAAGTTAGTGTTCTAAATCAGCAAACCCAGTTGTAGACGTTTATCTGTTAACGTTGATCTGTGGAGAGATTTTACCTATTTTGTCTTCGAAGACATCTTTCACACAGATGATGAGATAGGTGGCAGGTTATAACCATGTCACTGTGAGTTGTCGTGCGCCCACAGTGGTGTGAAGAGATGACATACCACACGTGATGTCGGTCTCGACGGCTTTCCCGGGCTATTGTACAAAAGCAGCCACGGAAGAAGCCAGTGAACCAGTGCGGTCGTGCTCTGATACGGCTTCCCCTGCAGATGCTGAAATTTGAATCTATGTAATTTTCACCTGTTTCAAAATATTTTTTGAATTTTTTCCGGGCACTTAAAAATGGCCAAACCATTCGGAGCTTGAGGGCTGTCCAGAAGTAGGTGGTGGGCCGGATTTGTTTGGCGCATGGGCTGTAGGTTGCCAAGCCCTGGGCTTAGTTCGTAAAGCCGTCCTAGGTGTTAACGCGAGTTAAGGCATATGGAGTTTAGCACGGTGCCCAGAGAGTATGGAGCACCGCAGTTCACCATTGGCATCATGGAAGGTGATCCTTCTCTTTAGGCCTGGCTGGTGATGTGAGGGGTAGGAGTGGTGGGCCTGCTCTGAATTTCTACTCTTCTAGAGTCTGCAGCTGCCCCGCTGTGCTAAGGGTGTGTGTGTGTGTGTGTGTGTGTGTGTGTGTGTGTGTGTGTGTGTGTGTGTCAGAACCTTCCTGGGCTGTACTCACTACTGACCTGGTGCACTGTGTTCCACACAAGTTCCCTCTAATGGGACTAGTGGGTGTTCCTCTTAATTCCTTTCTTTGTTAGGCACTCATGGGCACCTGCTGCGGGCGGGGCTCTGGGCTGAGGTTCGGGGCGGGGCGGCGTACAAGGATGAAGGGGCCATTGAGCCTGCCCAGGTGCAGTATTCCACTTTATGTACAGAGACAGGGGACTGTAGTTTACGGAAATGATTAGGTAGGAGATGCATTTAGTTTCTGCTGAGTTGTCTTCTGTCACCCCAGACTTAATGTGTCCATCCCGGGATAGGTCACCCCACTCCCAGATTCCTCCTTGCTTGCTCCCTTTCTGCCACATTTTCCTGTCACCCAGAATTTGACTTGACACCTCTAGCTACACAGCCCCATGGTCTTCAGCCATCAGTAAGGGTGGGAACCAAATTGCTGTTTGCTGGGTGCTTCCTGGGTGCCCAGGCTCTGCTGCTTGCTTTGGCGACATCACTTCATTACTGCCCACGACCCCCTGTGAAGTCCCAGCTGTTCTCCCCGGAGGGCCCTCTGAGGTTTGTTTCTCTCCATCCTTGCTGTCTCCTGTGAACATGCATGATGCTTGCAGCCACTTTCCAGCCTCTGGTTCTTCCTCCTCCTGGCGCGTCCTGGATGCTGTGGGCAGACTGATCTTTCCCACAAGCTTCTTTTCTCCTTTCACACTGCTGTGTGGGGATCTTCTACATGAGGTATAAACTACGTAACTTTATTTCTAAGTGGTTTTAAAGAAAGTGAGGAAGAACAGCCTCGTAGTCACCAACTTATAAAAACCTTCCAGATGCTCATCCCCTGCCTGTCCTCCCATAGTTGTATCTTTGGGGCCAAGTGGTTTGTCTCAACCATTTTTAATCCGTATTTGTGCCAGCCTGGCTTTAGGAGAGTGCTTTCTTTGGGCCACTGAATCTGATTTGTGGTTTGCCTGCCCTGGGCTGCTTCAGTCAGGTCCTGCTGTGCCCAAGGCCTAATCACTTAGTTCCCTGAGATGTGGTCAGCACCTTAAGAACAAACAGCTCTGCCTGGGGCGCCTGGGTGGCTCAGTTGTTAAGCGTCTGCCTTCGGCTCAGGTCATGATCCCAAGGTCCTGGGATCAAGCCCCGCATCGGGCTCCCTGCTTTATGGGAGGCCTGCTTCTCCCTCTCCCTCTACTGTTCCCCCTGCTTGTGTTCCTGCTCTCGCTGTGTTTCTCTGTCAAATAAATAAATAAAATCTTTAAAAACAAACAAACAAAAAAACAGCTCTGCTTATCTCTGGTCCTCCTCAGGAGCACCTCAGGCCACAGGGGCTCCAGAGATGAGGCTTACTGTCTGCGTAAGAGGCATTCCGGAAGCTTGCTTTAGGATTGGATTGGATTCTCAGAGCTAAACTGTTTTCTGCAAGTTTAGAAGCGTGGTAGTGTAGCCTGGATGCCCTCTGGCCAGTGGGTTGGTATTTGTGCAGCAGATCCCAAAGGTGGGTATGTGTGGGGAAAGAAGCCAGCATGTGCCCTTGAGTTGTGGGTTGACGGAAAGGTGTGACCCTGTGTCCCAGGAGCCCTCAGTAATTCCTGGCTAGCACTGGTGGTCCTTCCAGCTGCTGGAGGTGGGGCCCCAATCATCTTGTGTCTGGAGTAGAATCCAGCTGGGCCCCTATTCAGCTCCATCACAGGGCTAGTCCCTCTCAGAGGAGTCCCTCAGTCCCTTTTTCAGGGGTTCGCAGCCAAGGCTAAGAAGAGAGTCCGTGGCCTCTTGGCAAACTTACATCCCCTGGCCTTGCTGGTCTCCCTTCAGCCTCCCTCTCTGAGGAACAACTCGAACATAGAAACTCCCAACCTCTAAAAACAAACAGCCACAGTGCATGATGCCTCGAGAGCGTTGCCCTCCCTTCTTCCAAGGAAACACAGGGTAGGGCAGGGTCCTGTAGCGCATTACGTCGTTGCTTCCTCAGCCTTCCTCAGCTACATGCAGGCTTCAGCTTGTCTCTCTCGTTGCCGGAGAGCAGTGTTGGGGAATCTGGGTCCTCAGTCTGAGTTTACAGAGCTCCTTGTGACCTGTCCCTTCGTCATCCGGCTGACCACATGTCCCACCAGTCTTGAAAACAGACCTCGGTTTCCTTCTCACGTCCACACCATGATGTTGCATTCATTTGTACCCGCTGTTTCTGGTGGGCTTCCTCAAGAATGACCTTGAGCGGCCCGAGTCCCAATTTTATTATGAAGTCCTCCCTGGCCAGTGCTGTCGGTCCTTCTCTTTGCTGAGCCCCCGTGCTCTGTGTACGCGAGGCGGAACGTGTCATTTCAGTACAGATGGGTGTGTGCACTCTTGCCTTGACTAAGAGCACAGACACTGAAGAGACTGGCCTGACTTGGATTCTAGCTTACCACTCACCCTGATCTCCTTTCTCTGAGCTTCAGTTTCCTCATGTGTAAAAGGGAAATAAAAATCGTTTCTCCCCAACGAGACTTTACGCTTGCACTTGGCCACAGCCCTGTTCAGTAAGCCCATGCAACAGATTAATTGCCCGCCCCCTTTCTACCAGGTACATGGCCACCTCTGGCCTGGACCACCAGCTGAAGATCTTTGACCTACGAGGGACATTCCAGCCTCTGGGTGCTCGGACCCTGCCCCAGGGGGCAGGACACCTGGCCTTTTCCCAGCGGGGACTGCTGGCCGCAGGCATGGGTGATGTGGTCAACATATGGGCAGGGCAGGGCAAGGCCAGCCCACCCTCCCTGGAGCAGCCTTACCTCACTCACCGGCTCTCAGGCCACGTGCATGGCCTTCATTTCTGCCCCTTTGAAGATGTGCTGGGGGTAGGGCACAATGGCGGCATCACCAGCATGCTGGTCCCTGGTGAGTGGGCCAGGGGATGGGAGCCGTGTAAATGAACTCTGGGTGGAAGTTTGGGTTGGCTCAAGACAGGAGCAAAGGGCTTGGTCGGGCTGGAGCTGCCGGACTGGGTTCTGTTTATGGCTCCATGCTTCCTTGTCCCTCTAGGGGCTGCTGAGCCCAACTTTGACGGCCTGGAGAGTAACCCTTACAGGAGCCAGAAGCAGCGCCAGGAGTGGGAGGTGAAGGCCCTGCTGGAGAAGGTGAGCATGAGCCGGCGTGTGGTTTGGGCTGGGGTTGGGGAAAGCTCCCCATGCCCCAAGGGGTCTTGGGAAGAGTGGGATTCAGCAGCCCCCCTGGCCTCCGTCCCTCTTTGGGTCACCCTCCTGTGGCTCCTGACCCTTTCCTGTGCCTCTGTGACACCTCCAGGTACCTGCAGAGCTCATTTGTCTGGATCCACGAGCCCTGGCAGAGGTTGATGTCATCTCTTTGGAGCAAGAGAAGAAGGAGCGGATAGAGAGGCTGGTATGGAGCAGGCCCCAGTGCTCAGGCCCTCCACCCCACCACAGCCTCCCCCGTGCCATGTCCCCAGAAGTATGGCACAGCAGATGGGGGCTGCCACAGTTCCTGGCCTCTGACAGATTTTACCCTTGTCCCCCTCCCCTTAGGGCTATGACCCCGAGGCCAAGGCTCCCTTCCAGCCAAAGCCAAAGCAGAAGGGCCGCAGCTCAACAGCAAGCCTGGTGAAGAGGAAGAGGAAGGTCATGGATGAGGAGCACCGGGTAAATGATCATTGGGCGATGGGCTAGGCACCCCACAGGCCGCACCCTCCTGCTAGTGCCTCTGCCCTTACCAGCCTGACGCTTCTCACCTTGCCCCCATCTCACCATCCAGGATAAAGTCCGGCAGAGCCTTGAGCAACAGCCACAGAAACAAGAGAAGAAGGCCAAGCCTCTGAGGGCCCGGCCATCTGCCCTGGACAGATTTGTGCGCTGAGCCATGCTCCAGGGTGGCCTGAGAAGAACAATCTCTCCCCACAATTGCCTGTGGGGAAATGACCCTGTTCCTTGGAATAAGGAGGGGGCAGTGTGCCCCACCCCAACTGGGGAGGGACAGCTGGCTCCTGGGCTGGGTTGGTATTAAAGAAGATGGCTTTTTTTTTTTTTTTTTGGATAATGTGTCTAGATCTTCCTGGGGACCTATTCCCCTCCCTTTGCCCAGAATGGGACTGCTCTAGGATCTGAGGGGTTCATGGTGTCCTGCTTCTACCTCCACCCCGTATCTTATCACCATGACCCTAGCCTTGTTCTTTAGGGGCCTTCCTCTTTCCCACCTCCCTGGCGGTGTCCTTGCCATCCAGCATGGTCTGGCAGCCTCCAGGCTCCCCAGGTCTGCATTCTTGGACTCCTGGTGAGGACCACGCTGCACTCGAAGAGGTAGACAGACAAGTTTATTGAGGAGCCTGTGCCCCTCCTCTGCCATAGCTGGAGAGAACAACCCCAGCATTGTTTTGCTCTTCCTGGTGACCATCACTGGGGCTGCCAGGCCAGGCCCCTAGATTTCTCCTGTATCCCTCTGTCTTCAGTGATAGAGGAAACTGGTCAGCTGCAGCGCGTCAGGGCCCCCTGCCTTGGGCCTGCGTGAGAGAAGGTTGTGGGGGTGCCAACTAGACCCTCAACTCCTTACTCCTGTGGCCCCAGGCACTCTCAGCTGTGAAGCCAGGCTATTACCCGACAGCGCAGGATGCCCAAGACTTCCTGGAGCCAGGAGCAGAAGGGTGCGGTCCTTTCCCCGTCAGAGCCGCCCACCAGCTTCCAGGCTTCCTGCATCTTCCAGGGGTCCAACTTATGGGATGTCAGCAGGAATTTCCCATAGCAGCACCGGTCCAAGGGGTAGTGGGTGGCCCCAGCCAGCTTAACACAGTGGGTTGGGGTGAGGCCTCCTCGTCGGGCACTTACCCCCACAAAGACATCCTCCAGTGGCAGAGAGGGTGCCCGGCTGGCCACTTTCAGGATAAGCTGCACAGCAGAAGCTGACAGCACATACCCTGTGCCAGAAGCATAGGGTGGAAAGGGGCCCCAGGTGGAAGGCCACTGCTCCTCTGATATTTGGTGCTTGCTCCCTGGTGTCCGAGAGGGGTGCACCCGCCAGTGCACACGGCCCAGGTACAAAAGAGGCATTGGCTGGTTCCTCAGGATGGACCCTTCTTCCCAGTCTTTATCTCCAGCCTCAACCTCTCCCGGAGGTGGTTCCTTGCCCTTCTCCCATTGTTCCCAATGGCCCCCTCGCCGAATCAGCTCTGATACCAGTTCAGGGACGTTGACAAACACATCATCGTCCGTCTTGAGGATGTAGCGGGCCATGGAGCAGTGTTTGTTTGCCCAGTTCAGCCCGCTGAGGGTCTTGAGAGTAAGGTTCCGGTAGGAGTCCCGGAAGGCCGCCTGCAAGATGTCCCCCTGGGCCGCTGCCTCCCGCACTAGATCGATGTCCTGGGGTTCCCTGGTAGGATGCCACAAGCCGGGCTCTCCCAGCAGAAAAAGAGTCTGCACCCTGAGGCCCCGAGCCTCTCGCAGCCCGCCCCACGAAGCCCGAATGGCATTTCTTTGGTTCAGGTTCTCTGGGGCCGTGCACACAAGGATGAGCAGGAAGGGTGGGGCGCCGGGACCCCTGCACGCCTCTTCATTGGGGATCAGAAGGCGGGGCAGGGCCAGGGGCGGCCCTGGGGAGGCCGGAGCCGGGCGCAGGGAGGCCAGCGAGAGGCTCAGCAGCTCCTCTCCGATGCCCGAGGGCCCGAAGAGGGTCCAGATTATCACCAGCAGCAGGGCGGCAAGGAGAAGGCGCCGGAAGAGGCTGAGGGGCATGGTGTGGGGTAATCAGAGGTGACCTGGGGAGAAAGATGAGGGCGGTTAGTGGGCGGACGCCCCAGGTCTCCGTGACCGGAGTCCCTAACCGGCCACGCCTGGGATGGAGCGGGCGGCTGGTGCGCGCGGCCAGTACCGGCGCCGAAGAGCGCCGAGACCCGGGAGACGGGGGGTGGGGACACAGCCAGAACTGCGGGGAAGTTACCTTCTCGGGGCCCTGCCGCCCCAAAGCTCGGCTCCATGGTGGGGTTTCGCGGCGGCGCCAGCCGCCCCTCCCCCGCCCGCGGTGGCGGCTAGGTCCCGCCCCCCTCCCTGGGAGGGTGTAGGGCGGCACGCACACCCGCCTCCCCGGAAGCTGCTCCGAAGCTTCGCTGCTGCGGCGAACGCAATACGGCAGGCAGAGCACCGGCGGCGGGGGCTCCGCGCGAGGCGGCGGGAGCGGAATCTGGAGCAGTGTGCCGCAGTCGCAGGGGCGAACGCTGAGCAGCCCGCCAGCCGAGGCCAACTTCCTCAACCACACACCCGACCCCTCGCAGTGCTGCGGAACCCAGCTCTTCCGGGTCAAAGATTTTAGAGGCTTTCATCCGTACCGTTAGCCCACACCTTCCCGGCCTCGGCGACACCCCCCCTTTTTCTTAAAGAAACCCGGCGGGGATAAGGGTGTCAAGATCGGAAAATACTCCCCGGACCATCAACTGCTTAGGCTCAAGGTACCCACACCTGCCAAGCCGTTGGGCACACCAACGCCCGGGGGCCTTGGTTGTCTTGAAACTGCCTTGGACTCCAAGGGCGAGGGGGTGTTTTTTCTACCTCTTCCTTTAGAGGGCGGGCACCACAGGGTTGTTTCAGGTAGGGCGGGGAGTGGTAACACCTTTGCGCCATTGCTTTAACCCAGACGGGTCAGCTAGTTTGGGAAGCTGAGTGAGGCGATCAACCAAGAGAGGAAAACCACGCACAGGGCCCAGCGTGATAGCTTCCCCTATCAGGGTCCCCAGAAGAATGAAGAGAATCACACAGAAGGAAGCCTTAGGTGTATAAACTATTTTATTAACAGACAAGGCCTACAAATTTATTTCTTCTTGGACACACCCACGGTGCGGCCACGGCGCCCTGTGGTCTTGGTGTGCTGGCCTCGGACACGAAGTCTGCAGGTGAGAAAAGAGAAGAGTCACAGGTTATACACAATGCAAAGAAAATGTCTGGAAAGAGAAAGCAGAGCATGACAAATCTCTGGGAGTCTAGGGGCAGGGAGGGAGAGGAGACTCCCATCTCTACTCACCCCCAGAAGTGGCGCAGCCCTCTGTGGGCCCTAATTTTCTTCAGTCTCTCCAGGTCTTCACGAAGTTTGTTGTCCAGACCATTGGCCAGGACCTGGATTTGGAAGAGAGGGTGAGTAACGTTCTACCCACTGACCTCCTACGACTAATTCTAACTAGACACCCTGCCTCTTCCCTAATCTCTCCCATCTCAGTACACACCTGGCTGTACTTTCCATCCTTCACGTCCTTTTGTCTGTTCAAAAACCAGTCTGGGATCTTATACTGGCGAGGATTCTGCATAATGGTGATCACACGTTCCACCTGGCAGGCAGGACAAAGGTCAGATACATACAGAGGGCTTCCCTTCGAAGGCAGGCCCAACCCACAGCCCCCCTTCCTTGTCCTCACCTCATCCTCAGTGAGCTCTCCGGCCCTTTTGGTGAGATCGATGTCTGCTTTCCTCAACACTACATGAGCATATCTTCGCCCCACACCCTGAGGAGAGGTTTTGGAATTTGGGGTTGAGTCTGATTTTTTTGGTTCCCTTTATAGCCCCACTATTCAAAAAGCACACAAAGGTCGGGCCTGCAACCACCCAGTGCGTTACTTTTCTAGAAACAAAACATAACCATTGAACAGGAGAAAAAGTTTTGGTCCCCCCCCCCAGCCCCGCCCAGGACTGGTCTGAAAAAAAAAAGCATCTTTTCACACTGCTCGGCATATACAGCTGTCAGATGTTGGCTGTTTAAATTAAAGACATTGCAGCAGCACCCAAGAGCAGTACCTTCTCATCTCTGCACTGTGGAAAACCAAAGGCTTGATGCTCTCAAAGCTAATACAGCACCAATGCAGCAAAACTAGGGGCTTCTGGATTAACATGGTTGATCAAGGGGTAGGACTGTGGTGCTCTGGGTCTCTAAGGGTCATAATTCTTTGGGCAGGTCACCCCATCACAATGATCACTTTTCCAAGATCACAAACTTGGATTTGGTCAGTGCCCAGAGATGACCAGGCCACAGGAAGCTAAGTGCCCAAACCCAACTGAAAAGAACTATTTAATGCTTACACTGGTGGCATTGTATCAGCACCAACACCAGTACTCCTTGCCACTTGAACTCATGAAGCAAACACGTCAATAGTGAAGGATGATGTGCTAGGTTAAATAGTACCCCCCCCACATATTCTAGAATTCCAGAACGTGACCTTATTTGGAAATAGGGCCATTGCGAATATAGTTAGTTAAATGAGGTTACATGGGATTAGGGCAGGCTTTGAATCCAATGCCTGGTGTCCTTATGAAACGAGAGGACAGAGTGGAAGGCCATGGGATAGGAGCGACATAGCTAAGGAAAACCAAGGACTGCCAGTAACCACCAGAAGATAGAATTCCCAGAGCCTTCACAGGGAGCATGGCTCTGCTGACACCTTGATTTTGGATGTTTGGTCTCCACAACTATGGGAGTAAGTTTTTGTTGTTTTAAGCCAACAAGTATGTGGTGACTTGTCTCAGCAGCCCCAAGAAATGAAAAGGTATTCCTCTGTGTAAGAGGTGACCTAGAGGGGCACCTGGGTAGGTTAAATATCTGCCTTCGACTCAGGTCATATCTCCTGGTCCTGGGATCAGGCCCCAGGTAGGGCTCCCTGCTCAGCCAGGAGTCTGCTTCTCTCTCCCCCCCTCTGCCCCCACCCCCAACTTGTGCATGCTCTTGCTCAAATAAAAAAAAAAAGTGACCTAGAAAATTAAATTATCAGGTTGATTCAGAAGAGTTTGTCTTGGGACACCTGGGTAGTTCATTCAGTTAAGCGTCCAACTCTTGGTTCTGCTCAGGTCATGATCTCAGGATTGTGAGATCAAGCTTGCCCTGTGTTGGGCTCCTCTCTCTCCCTCTGCCCCCTCCGCTCACGCATTCTTTTTCTCTCAAGTAAATAAATCTTAAACAAAACAAAACAAAACCCACAACCCCACCCCCCCCAACCCAACAGAAGAGATTAAGGTCTCAAATGTAAACATTTACAGTTAAAATAGTTATGTATGAGATTTACTTTTAAATGATAGGGAACACAGATGAAACGGGATTTCGAATTTTTGCTAGATGGTGTTTCATAGGGGCTAAATTTTCTTCCTTCTACTTTTGAATGTTTAAATTTTTCCATAATCAAGTTTTTACAGAGTTGCTGTAAGCTTTTTTTTAAAGTAGGCTCCATGCCCAGCATGGAGCCCAATGGAGGGGGGGGGCTTGAATTCATGACCCTGAGATTAAGACCTGAAGTGAGATGGAGAGACAGATGCTTAATTGACAGATACACCCAAAAGCCTTTGGCTAAGATTTTTGATAGCCCTCGGGCTGACATTGACCTGCCAACTTTCTAAGTTAGATCCCTTTTCTCTTCCAAGGAGACCACCCCTGTCTTCTCCATCCAGAAGTTAAGTATACTCAGGGGACCATCACTCATATGGTCCAAGGGCCTTGACCATATGATAGAAGAGTTGACACCAACTTAGTATTACTCTTGGAAAGTATTTAGCAGAGTTACTCACGGGACAGCACACAAATTCCTCATAAACAAGGCCAGTGGGTACCTCCCAGGGATTACGCCCAACTCCAACCCCTTCCTCCCAGGTTTCCAAATAACCTGCAGAGGGCAGTATCACCCTGATTTAGAGGAAGGGCAGACGATCAGCCAACCTTAAAGAATACCCATAACAAAAGTCTACAAGTAGAAACAAAGCAATTACGAAGGAATTATGGCATAGCATAATCTTATAGGGTCTGTATTACCTCTCAATATCCTCTTGTGCTTACTCTCAACTTCCACTCCATTCTTCATCCTTCCCCAGCCAATTAATCTCACCACTTCTTTAGCCACCATCTTTTGAAGAATCCCCTCCCCATACCGTACTTTCTTCCAATTTCCAAGTATTACCCCTCCATTCTGGGTCCTTAACAAAAGACCCTCTCCTATTCGAGCTTTAGTTCTCTCACCAGAGGAAGAGCAAGCTAGCTGCATTTGCTGGCTCTCCACACAATTAGCAAAAAAAAATCTCTGTATCATCTATCTCTAGGAATAACCTTTCCCAGTGATCAGCAAAGCATCAGGATCCCTAAAAGAATTACAAAGTTCATTAAGTACCTTAAAGTCCTTTGGTTCAATCGTTTTAAGTGGACTACAGAGACTCTGACACATATTTAATGAAAGTAAATACAAAACCAGTTAATTTCAAAGAGGCAGAGAGAAAGGGTTTAACACAAACATCCCACTGACCATGACCATTTTTATACAGGCATCCCTTGTTTAACTGCACTATGCAGGTATCGTTTGTTTTGTTTACAAGCTGAAATCTTGTGGCAAATCCGGTGTCAAGTCATCAATGCCTTTTCCAACAGCATTTGCTCACTTTGTGCTTGTGTCACATTTTGGTAACTCTCAAAGTATTTCAAACCTTTTCATTATTATGTTATAGTGATCTGTGATCATGACTCCTTGAAAGCTCATGATGATTTACATTTTTTAGCAATAAAATATTTTAAAATTGAGGTACTTTTTTTTTAAACATAATACTATTACATGCTTACTATCAACTACAGTGTAAATATAATTTGCATATGCACTGGGAAACCAAAACATTCATTTGACTCACTTTATTGCCTGGAACTGAACCTGTTATATAGACCTGAAATATTAGTGTCTGTATTCACTATTCCATTTAAGCTTCATAGCAACCCTTAAAAAGGTACTAGTGTATTTTACATTGCCTTCCTAGTTTTGCATAAAAAAAAGGAAGCAATCTTTTTATTTACCATTTAACAAATGAAAGCTGTGCTTCCTGCAATAGAACATGAAAAACCAATGGAAATCTGATCAATCTTGTGAACCAAAGCTAGAAGATACAGTTTTGATTGAACAAGTTATCTATACAGTATTTATGTTTCCTTTAAATTCTTTGAAACCAGGCTACAGTATCCCTGGATCCATTCCCTAACACTGTATGAGCACCTATTATGCACCAGAAACTGGGGACTGTGAACAAGATAGGACTGTCCCTGCCCACCCATCCCCCCCCCCCGGGGGTTATCACTGGCAAAAAACACATTCAGCCATATCCACAATTACATGTATTAACAACAACAAAATACAATAGAATAAAGTCCCCCACCGGAAGGCCAGTTCATTAGGTTGGTCAAAGAACACACCCAAGCTTGTGCTCACCGACCTAATGCATACAATGAGCCAAATACTGGTTCCCATCAACTGGAAATGCATTTCATTCACCTCTGGCATTGGAATAAATGCTCTGCTTACGGTGTGGTGATAGCCCTCCCACTTCACAACTATAGGTTTCTTCACACTTGGGAGTCTGTTGGCATTTCTACCCCCCCCCCACATGCAAAATTACACAATTTCTAGGGCATACAGATTTCACAGGAAGGGTTGCCGTTATGATGAATTGCTGTGGGGGACAGAAACCAAACTTAGCATGAACCTCAGAAGAGGACCATGGCTGATGGTCCAGTAAAATTTTAGCGAATTCTAGTAGACAAGGCAACCCACTCCCCATCCCCTAGGAGAGAAGTATCTTGGCTTGACCTGACTGGCTTTCATTACTTACCTTTTAGGGCAATTGTGGTAAAGGGTTAAAGGAACTAATCACTCTTTTAACCATTCTTTATTTTACCCACCAGCTAAAAGGTAAAACCTAAAAAGGTTTCCTCGACCTTGTCTCACTTACAGCTGTCTTAACTCCAGTTTCATTTATATGCTCCAGTCCTTACCCTACTTTACCTTAATTGCAGTGATGGCAAAGGCTATTTTCCGCCGCCCATCGATATTGGTGTTGAGTACTCGCAAAATGTGCTGGAACTTCTCAGGGATCACTAGAGACTGACAGAGATAGGGGGAGAAATCAGGCACTGTGAACTACCATCCAACAGTAACCTCAAAGAGGAACGTCAAGCTTGTCATACAGGGAGCAACGACCCCCCCCCCTTCAGTTTTCTCACAACAAACTCGTCAGTCTTGCACGCAGCAGAACGTGAAGTGTTCAGGCTCGGGAAAACGCAACCTCTGGGAGGGGGCAAATCTTCTGCCCGTTCCCAAACGTACACTCTGAGTGGCGGGGACCTGCTGTCCCCAGTCACACGCAAGACTTTTAGCCGCTTTCGAGCGCCCTGGGAGAGACTCTTCCTCTAACCCACTCGCCAGAACTGGATGTCTTCAGTCTTTCCTTCCCATGGGTGCGACTCAAAGATTCACACAGAAAGTTGCAAACCCCCAGAATAGGGCATTTCTAGCCCCCTAACAGCAGACTTTCCGTATCCCGGTTCCGATGTCGCCGGATCCCCGCACTGGTTCTAGTCTTACCATGGCGGCGGCCCCACCGGCGGCGTGTAGGCCTCCTGTGGAAGAGAGAGCGGAAGTGACGTAGTACCCTTATATAGCTACCAGGCGGAAGAGGCGGGGCGACCATCCTGAAGCGCTTCCGGAAACCGCTAGTGCCAGAGCCAATTCGACTTCTGAGAATCTCTATTCGTTGCCGCAACTTCCGGTGCTGTCTCTTTACAGTTCGTAAAGTTCTTGAGAGAGAGAGCAGCAAAGGTTCCGGGGTGGGATTGTGCTTAAGACGCCCAATTCCCATTTGCAGCTGGGTGAAGTGGTTAGGCTGAAAGGGGAAGGCTGGAGTCAACAACTTAATTCAAATATCTGGGAACGGTTTCGCGCTCTGCAAGACCCTCTAAGATTTGTTGGTCCACCCCAGGGCGGACTCAGCGACTGACAGCTGCCGGAAGTGAGGCAGAGCGGAATGGCCGCTGCTGCGACCATGGCGGCAGCTGCCCGAGAGCTGATGTTGCGAGCCGGGGCCTCAGATATGGAGGAGGAGGAGGGCCCGCTGGTGAGAACGCGGGGCTATTTCTCTTGCGGAGTCTTGTCCGGTGGTCCTCGCGTCAGAAGGGCCCGGGCTGAGCTAGGCACAAGGGTGGGGGAGCGGCTGCTACCGGTGATGCTACCTGTGTGGCTTTCCATATTCCTCCTTGGGATCGGCCTGAGTCTGAGCGGGAATCAGAATGGCCGAGAGTCAGGTTCCAGGGGCAGAATTTCAATTAACTTCCAGATTTTGGGGCGGAATAGAGAAGCAGTGTAGTGTAACAGTTAAGAACATGGTTTATAGTCAGATTGCCTGGGTTCTAATTCCAGCTTTGCCTCTTGAACGCTGTGTGTCTTTGGGCAAGTTGACCGGCTTCTGTGTCATACTTTCCACACCTATAAGGTGAAAGAAATAATAAGACTTAACCATATAGATCGTTGGTTATGATTAGATGAATGATGTATGAAAGATGGTACCTGGCACGCAGGTAAACACTGTTAGCTGACATTTCTAGAAGGGCTGGTGATCTCCACAGGGATTATGATAGAACACCTAGGATAGCAGGAGTCTGGGTATCCTACATTCAACTGTAAGTTCTGCTCTGTTCTCTGCAACCCCTGATTTTTCTCATTGGGACACCTCTACTCTCTTGGTGGCTTGCAAGTCTCTTTGTCATATTCCCTACCCAGAAGCCCCAAGTAGTAGATTGGGTACAGTGTGAAACTCCTGGAATTTTTTAACTCAGTATCTATGGCTCCCAGTAAAATCCCAGCCTGTCCCCACTTCCCCCACTCCCTGAAGGTATTTGGATTATCCCATTATATTTGTTCTCCCTCTCTCTTCCTTGTCCTTTCCCATTAACTTGTCCCTCTTCAGGGGGGTGGTCCTGGTCTTCAGGAGCCATTACAACTTGGAGAATTGGACATCTCCTCTGACGAATTCATCCTGGATGAAGTGGATGGTAAGCAATGGCACGAGGTAGATGCAGACTGCTTCTGATTTGAGAGGCATGGGGGCTGGAAGTAATAAGGCAGGGATTGGTGTACAGATGTTCATTTGCGGGAGAGGGCGCTGTGGAGCTGGACCCTTATGATAAACTTCTATTTCCAGTTCACATTCAGGCAAATCTGGAGGATGAGTTAGTAAAGGAAGCTCTTAAAACGGTGAGGCTTTCTGCTATACTGATCTTCCCCTCCACTTACCCTCCCCTGAAAGAAGAAAAAAAGGAAACAGTCTCGCTGTTATATTACCCGGTGTCTCATCTTCTAGTCCTTTGTTATCCTGTCCCAGTGTCTCTTCACTGCGACTTTGTCCTAACCTGTCATGTTTATGTTCTCCCAGGGTGTGGATCTCCGTCATTATTCCAAGCAGGTTGAGCTGGAGCTACAGCAGATTGAGCAGAAATCCATCCGGGATTGTATCCTCCAGTAGAGAAAAAGGGTGATGTTATTAAAATAGGGGTTTTGTGGAGCATGGTGCAGGCAGCCCAGCAGGGGCTGACATCTTCTGTCTGAGGTTTCTGTCATCGCAGGGAAAAATTGGAGTGGTCCTGCAGGTCTGAGAATCTCCAACTTTATGGTGAGCCCCCTTGACTTTTTGTGGGTCAGATATTCAAGAGAGTGAGAACATAGCATCTCTGCACAACCAGATCACAGCCTGTGATGCTGTTCTTGAGGTTAGTAACCATGACCTGTGACCCCTAATAACCCTGAGCCAGATCATGGTCTCTGCTGTCATTCTTAAGGTCATCAGCCTCAGGTGGGGATAGTTAGATTCACTTTCAGGATGACCTCAGCAGCCTCTTTTTTTTTTTTTTTTAAGATTTTATTTATTTATTCATGAGAGACAGAGAGAGAGAGAGAGAGAGAGAAGCAGAGGGAGAAGCAGGCTCCCCGCCGAGCAGGGAGCCCGATGCGGGACTCGATCCCAGGACCCTGGGATCATGACCTGAGCCAAAGGCAGACGCTTAACCATCTGAGCCACCCAGGCGCCCTCAGCAGCCTCTTTTGTTGTTAGTGCCATACTAATGTTACTTGCCCGTGACCTTTGGGGCACCTCTTACCTCATCACCTGCTACCCTCATGGACTGATATTGAAGACTTCACCAATAAACTTAGGTGGCCCATTTGTCCCCTGCCAACCCTGTGGCCCTCCGGCAACATCTTCTGTTCTTCCCCCAGCGCATGGAGCAGATGTTGGGAGCTTTTCAGAGTGACCTCAGCTCTATCAGTTCTGAGATCCGGACACTGCAGGAACAGTCAGGAGCCATGAACATTCGGCTTCGAAACCGCCAGGCAGTTCGGGGAAAACTTGGGGAACTTGTCGATGGTCTGATAGTGCCCTCTGCTCTGATCACGTGAGTTGCCAGTTTGAAGAGTCACAATGTCTATAGCAGGTAGATGGGCTAGGGTGACCTCCCCTACTTACCACGTGGGTTTCCGGCTTCAGGTCATCGAGTGCCTTCCAGAAACTGATGGGTGGGTTGACAACTCAACCTTGATGTATGCTTTAGGCATCCAAGATTAGGAATTATCCAGGGTGGGGCATTTAGTTGGGGGGGTGGTTCAAGGCTTATGGGCATGGGGCAGAGAGGAGGTTTCAGGAACAGAAAACTTTGTACATATATTCTGACTACATGATTCAGCATAAGAAAGGAGAGGCGTGGGCGCCTGGGTGGCTCAGTTGGTTAAGCGACTGCCTTCGGCTCAGGTGATGATCCTGGAGTCCCGGGATTGAGTCCCACATCAGGCTCCCAGCTCAGCGGGGAGTCTGCTTCTCCCTCTGACCCTCTTCCCTCTCGTGCTTTCTATCTCTCATTCTCTCTCTCTCTCAAATAAATAAATAAAATCTTAAAAAAAAAAAAAAAGAAAGGAGAGGCGACAGGCTGGATGTAAGGGATGTGGTTTGGGGTCTAGCAATGTCCAGGTCTCCCTCCTAATCCCTTCCACCCACCCCTGCTACCCAGGGCAATTCTGGAGGCGCCAGTGACAGAGCCCAGGTTCCTGGAGCAGTTGCAGGAGCTGGACGCCAAGGCAGCTGCAGTCCGAGAGCAGGAGGGTAGAGGGACAGCGGCCTGCGCTGATGTCAGAGGCATACTCGACCGGCTCCGGGTCAAGGTGAGGGGTGGGAATGATACCCCAGAGATTACTAGAACCAGCCTCCCTGACACCTTCAACCTGGGTTTCCCTGGCAGTGCACCCTGTAGCCCGTCCCCAAGAACTTCACCCTGCCTTTACCTGGCAGAGCTTATCATCATGTCTCTGGGTTCCCCTGAAAATTTTCAGAAATACCAAAGAGGTATTCTCCACTCTCCATCCTCCTATATTTAACATCTGCTGTTTCCCAAACAGTCATAAGGTTGCAGCTTAATGCCCTGTATTTCGTTCCCCCCCCCCCCACCTAGGCGGTGACGAAGATCCGAGAGTTCATTCTTCAGAAAATTTATTCCTTCAGAAAACCAATGACCAACTATCAAATCCCCCAGACGGCCCTGCTGAAGTACAGGTCACTGCCCAGAGGAAGTGCTCGGGATGATCTCTGAGCTGTCGAGCTGCCTGTGTAGTGTTTGCTTTTTTGGGGGAGGCAGGGAGACTGACTTGTCCCTGCCCCCCCCCCCAGGTTCTTCTATCAGTTTCTGCTGGGCAATGAACGAGCAACAGCGAAGGAGGTCAGGGATGAGTACGTGGAAACACTGAGCAAGATCTACCTGTCTTACTACCGCTCTTACCTGGGGCGGCTCATGAAGGTGCAGGTGAGGCCAAAGAGAGAGGCATTCCCAGGCATGTGGTCTGGGAAGAGGGACCACACCTGGTCAAGACTGGACAGTGGAAAAAAATTTTCTTATCACACCACGGGAAGAGATGGTCACCAGTTCTCTCGTTTCTTTTTTCCTAGTACGAGGAAGTTGCTGAGAAGGATGATCTAATGGGTGTAGAAGATACAGCAAAGAAAGATATCCTAGAGCTGAGGAACCCACCTACTAGTCCTTGACAGTGAGGGTGCCTCAAAGACCCTGCTTTTTGCCTTTTTCTCTGGCGCCTAAAGCTTTGAGAATGTGATAAAGGCTATGGCCCCCCTCCCCAGAAAAAGTCACATGCCTTTCTGACACATAGTTTTGCATATGATCTAGGGAGGGTAGAAGCTCTCTGAAGTCCATTCCCAGGTGTCGGGGGAATGGGGCCCTGGTACTGGGAAAGAGGGACATGAAGCCTGTGTCTGGCTGCCGGCAGTTCCTGAAGGTACTGAGCCTCTGTGTTTGTCACAGTTGTGATCTTATCGTTTTCCCTAACTCTGACCCTTCACGATTCTTCTCGAAGCCTTCCCTCCGCAGCAGGAACACCATCTTCACCCTGGGGACCCGTGGTTCTGTCATTTCCCCCGCTGAACTGGAGGCCCCCATCCTGGTGCCCCACACTGCCCAGCGGGGAGAACAGAGGGTAGGAGAAGGAACAAGAGTCAGTCATGAGGGGATGCTGGGGGGGGGGGCGGACCTACAGGCAAAGCTCCCCACCCTGCAGTTCCCTGCATCAATCCCCTTAGAATGGGGAGTGGCCTTCTTGGGTTGCCCAGGTGTTCTGTGATGGGCAGAGGGTTGAGACCATTGACTTCAGGACAGATAGAGGGCGAGACTGACTGAGGGGAATGTCATGAGGCAGGTTGTGGAGGTGGGTGGCGTAGTAACAGCAGGTGGGGGTGGGTTCTTTTGTGCCCCTCGTCCGCCTCCCATTTCAGTAGCCATTCAGGGTGCTCCTTCACAGCCTGAACTTGGGTTAGGTGGGAAGGGCCTCCTGAGCTCTCATTACCCAGGCTTGTTGATTTTTCCAGCGATCTCTGTGGGAGTCAGTGTTGGGGGGTCCATCCCTTCTGTCTCTCTTTCTCACCTCTCCCACCCTAGTATCCATTCGAGGCCCTCTTCCGAAGCCAGCACTACGCCCTTCTAGACAATTCCTGCCGTGAGTACCTTTTCATCTGTGACTTCTTCGTTGTGTCCGGCTCGGCTGCACACGACCTCTTCCATGCTGTCATGGGTCGCACGCTCGGCATGACCCTGGTAAGACCCCCAGCTCCCGTGCTCTCGGATCCCTTTGTCCTCAGTCCTCTGCAGCACCATAGTGGGGTCATAGCTCTGGTGGTACTGAAACCAGGCCCCCTCCTTCTAAAATGGCTAAGCCTAGTACAGAGTATATGAAACCCTCAAAGTTTGGGGTCCCTGAGGGTACCCCTACTATTGACCCACACCCAGGCAGTAGCATCTGAAAACTAAGGGCCCCCAAAATGATGCTCAGCTTTGACTTCTACTATGATGGGCTTGTGAGCATAGATCCTGATGGGCAAGGCAGCAGGACCACCTGAGTGGCCGGTGGACAGGAGAGGAGGGACCATTTCCCAAGAGCTCACTCCCTTTCCTCCCAGTGCTGCCTCCCCAGAGGAACATGTGCATTTGTCCATAGCCGCTGGGGATGACAGAGTTAACAAACATCCTTTTCCAATACTCTGTCCCTGAATCATAGAAACACCTGGAGTCCTATCTCACGGACTGCTACGATGCCATTGCTGTTTTTCTCTGTATCCACATCGTCCTCCGGTTCCGCAACATTGCAGCGAAGAGGGATGTTCCTGCCCTGGACAGGTCACTGATCTCTGGTCCTTGATGCCCTTGAACCCTTGGTCTCACGTGACCCTGGCCTGACCCTTGGGCTGCTGCTGACCCGACACCCTGACTCTTACTCCCGTTCATCTGCCTGGGGGCAATACTGCTTTCTGACTTTCATACCAGCCCTGCCTCCCCCAGCCCTCAGCTGTTCATTGGGTTCCCCCACAGAAACCCGACCACCATCGCCCCACATTTCTTTTTGGCCTTTTAAGTTTTTATTTCAATTCCAGTTCGTTAACATACAGTGTTCTGTTAGTTTCAGGGGTATGATACAGTGATTCAGCAATTCCATGTGTCACCCAGTGTTCATCATGATACCCCCCCCCCCATTTCTTGCCAGCTGATCTCTGATTCTGATTAAGCCTGCAGGTACTGGGAGCAGGTGCTTGCCTTGCTGTGGCCACGATTTGAGCTGATTCTGGAGATGAATGTCCAGAGTGTCCGAAGCACTGACCCTCAGCGCCTTGGGGGGCTGGATACTCGGCCCCACTATGTGAGAGAGGGCAAGGGTAACAAAGGGGTTCCTGAAAGGCAGGGCTCTTAGCTTCACTGTGGGGGTTGGCCAGGTTCCCAGTTGTGTTGCGGGCCTGGCTGGATACTGGGCACACTGTGTGTGGGGGGCGGTCTAGGTTCAGGGTGACTCGGGCACCGTTGGGTAGAGGGATTGGGGGTGGGAGTCACAGAGGTTGATTGGCTAGCTCCTAGGGACTTGGGAAGTTGTGTTGGTTGGGCGAGGGGGCCGGTGTGATTTTCTTTCCACTTTCTCTCCCCCAGATCACACGCCGATATGCAGAGTTCTCATCTGCTCTTGTCAGCATCAATCAGACAATTCCCAACGAACGGACAATGCAGCTGCTGGGACAGCTACAGGTGAGGGTGGGCAGGAGAGACTTCCCGGCGGCCGGGCTGCGGCAGTGGCCTGGGGTGTGACAAGGGCCATGTGCTCCTGCCTCCTTGTGTCACCTCTTCCTTCTGGCTTTTCCAGGTGGAAGTAGAGAATTTTGTCCTCCGAGTGGCAGCCGAGTTCTCCTCAAGGAAGGAGCAGCTTGTGTTTCTGATCAACAACTATGACATGATGCTGGGTGTGCTGATGGTACAGATACCATGTCTCCCTTCCTCCCTACCCGGAGAGTCTGGCTTCCCCCACTGCTCTGTGAGCTCCGGGAGGACAGAGATGATGTTGGTCTTGTTCATGTATTATTCTTGGTGCTTGGCCCATTGCCTGGCCAAGTATAGTAAATGTGGAAGGAAAAGGATATCCTGAAGTGAAGGGCTGCTTCTCCCCACACTTGAGATTTCCCTTTGTCTTCCCTTAGGAGCGGGCTGCAGATGACAGCAAGGAGGTTGAGAGTTTCCAGCAGCTGCTCAATGCTCGGACACAGGTAGGGGGGTGGGACAGTCTCGTGTGTGTATGTTTGTAGGGAGTGGCAGTTAGAGGGCTTTAGGTACACAGAATTGGAACTGTTGGTCTGCTTTATTTCCTTTTGTGTTTTTTTTTAATGGTACACGTGCCCCTGAACACCCCACATACCTTGGTGATAACCAGCATCAAACAATGAATTCTTCCTCACCCATTTCCTTGCCTGTCACTCTTTTAAATCCTTCGACCTAATATTGTGTTTATCATGCTCTTGCTTTTAAAAATACGCCTTTAAGTATGGCAAAACAATGATTACTTAGTTTTATTTATTTCTAAGATTTTTTATTATTTATTTATTTACTTTTTTAAAGTAGCCTCCATGTCCAACATGGGGCTCAAACTCACGACCCGAGATCAAGAGTTGCAGGCTCTACCCACTGGGCCAGCCAGGAGCCGCCATTTAGTTTTATTTTTGAGTGACATAAAAACAATCACAGGATTTTTTTCATGCATAATTTTTCCAACATTATCGTATTATTATATATGGCTGCAGCTTATTCTTTTTTACTTTATATAATTTTATGTTGTGTGAATATAATGTATTCTGCAGGTGGACATTTGGATTATCTAGTTTTTTGCCACTGTGAGAATTGTTTTGTGAACAATTATATCTCTTAGTTCATGTAGATGGAGATAAGTTTTATAAAAATTTCTCTTTGAAGTCAGCATTGGCTCATTGCTTAGAGGATTTGCCAGCAATTAACTTTATGAGACACTGCCAGATTGTTTTCCTAAGTGGTATACCAGTTTTTCCCTTACCAGCAATGTGTAAGAATTCTCACTGAGCAATATTTTCTCCAACACATGGTATTATCAAACTATCTTTACCATTCTGGTAGGTATTTTGTTGGGGGTCTTTATTTGCATTTTCCTGATTACTAATGAGATTGAGCATCATTTCAAATGTTCAAAAGTCATACAGATTTTTCTTTTCCTGTAAAACATCTTTCATAGTATTTGACCTTTTTAAAATTGGGCTATTTGTGTATTTCTTTTTGATTTATAAGAGCATTTTTATACTTATGAAACCAATCTTTTGATAGGTTGCAGATATCTTTCAGTGCTTTTTCTATTTACTTTTTATTTTTATTTTTTTATGTTTTATGGTGGACAAATTCTTTTTTTTTTTTTAAGATTTTATTTATTTATTTAATTGACAGAGAGAGAGAGAGAGGGAGAGATAGCGTGAGAGGGAACACAAGCAGGGGGAGTGGGAGAGGGCGAAGCAGGCTTCTGGCTGAGCAGGGAGCCTGATGCGGGGCCTTATCCCAGCACCCTGGGATCATGACCTGAGCCGAAGGTAGTTGCTTAACCAACTGAGCCACCCAGGTGCCCCTGGTGGACAAATTCTTAATTTTATTTTTATTTATTTATTTATTTATTTTTTATTTTTTTTTTTTAAAGATTTTATTTATTTGAGAGAGAGAGAATGAGAGACAGAGAGCACAAGAGGGAAGAGGGTCAGAGGGAGAAGCAGACTCCCCGCTGAGCAGGGAGCCCAATATGGGACTCGATCCCGGGACTCCAG